CGAGGAGCATGTTGGGATCGCTTACTTTTCGCAGTCTGCCTCAGTCCTCCTACAGCCTGAAGAGTGCTTGGTAACCCGGCGACAACCGAGCCGGTAATAGTTTCGATGACGTCAATACCAGGAATTACAATTGGCAAAATTTTACGTTGACTTCGCCATTCTCTGATACCCTCCTACCCACTCTCCTTTCTCAACCAGTCTTGAGACCGGCAGTGGCGGAATTTTCATTTTTCTAATATTCCATATTTCTATTTGGAAGAAAGATGACAAGAATTGCACCTTGTGCTGGTTATTAGATTGGATAGACGGCCATCGGGAAACACGAAATGCTTTCATCGGGCAGCGCTGGCCTACACCTTGTCGATTGTGGCATGATCAGAATAGAATACGATGATGTCCGTATTATTCGCGACACCACTTTGCTAGCCGTTTTTCTTCCGGTTGCGCTGAATCAACCTGGGGCTGATTCTTTGCTAGAAGAGGTTCTTTGTTAAGACAAGAACTGTCCCTTGAGTGGAATCGAAAGCAGCACCACCAGAGCTCCAAGCTGACCTCTGAGGCACTTCGTCACCACGCGATCGGTTATTGTAATAGTTCGGTAAAAGCATTCATCAACGCTTGCAGTTTATCTGATTCACATGACAATTGCTTGTCGCCTATTCAAACTTTCAGGTCTGTATCTGTGCACTGCTTAGCTGTTGTGTTATTTTACATCACTTTGTGACGTTATCTCTTCTTATTATTATGTACATACTGTATAAAAATCTTTAAACAAAACACAAAAATGATTCAATTGACTTCGCTCAGGTCGGTCTTCCTGAATTTCATTTTCTTCAGCAGAATCATTTGAGGAATTTCGCTTTGAATGTGCCTCTCCATGACGATAATTCATCATTTTGATCGTCGTCTTTATACTCTTCTCAGTTTAGGCTGAAATCACTGTTACGACTGCCTTTGGCACTGTACATGCGGATCACAGAACGAGATGTCAAAAATGCCAACATCGTAACACAAAAGCAAAACACAGATGCAAGGACGGCAAATAGGTTTTTCTGAACGCAATACGTAGATTCGATGTGCGTTTCTGCAACCTGACCTAAAGCAGATGTTCAATAAGTATACGTTAATAAAAACAGAATATTTCGCTTCATCACTGCCACTTAGCAACTGCAGTGCATACTTACTCTTCACTGAACACGCCATCGATGATTCAACGCAAAAGCGGTCATTCCTTGAAATTGTGCTTGTCGCCGGCTGATCAGTTTAGCTTATGCAAAAGT